TAAAATTTTAAGTGAAAATGATTTAATCATATTCATTTCTAGAAATTATTTGCATGTTTATCAATTAAATTTTAAATCACTGGAAGTAAACTTAATTAATATTTATGAATTTGAAAGTAAAATAATTGATGGTTATTTTAAAAATGAATTAAACATACTTTTTGATGGATTTATTCTAAATTTGGAAAAAGATGTATTAAAATCAAAATCTGAAAATATAAATTTTAAGTCAATTGAACTTATTAACATAACTTCCTATAATAGAATCTTAATAAAAAACAACCTTTTATTCTTACAGTGTAAGTGTAAATTATTTTTAATACACAATTATAACGTAATAAATAGTATCACATTAGATACTTATAGAGTTATTGATATAATAATTTATGAAAGTCACATTTATGTTTTGACAGCAATATCAATACTTTCATATAATTTAACAAACAGTGAAGTACTTTCTTATTTTAGACCAAGATCAGAACTTGCATTTAAATCAAAATTAGGTAAATTATATGCAAGTGGTGATTATATTTGTTTTTTTGACGACTTTAGTGGGTATTTATTACTTGATAGATATAATTTAGAGTGTTTATATGGAGGATTTGTTGATTCTTACTTATGTAACATTTCTATTTCTAAAAATGATTTATTAATAATTGATTTTTCAAAAATAAAAGTTTATATAAATTTTATTAGAAAACAATATGTAAATCAAAATTTAAAAACAGATATAAAAATTAAAGAAGGTGAATTAATATTTGAAACATTTGATTGGAATTTCATTAAAGATATTTTTGAAGAAAAGAAAACAGAATATATTTTTCATAACAAACATGAATTAATGATAATTAACTATGTAAATAAGCCTAAAGTAGTATTAGAAGATAATATTCCATTCTTTCATCCAAATTTTTACAGTTGGTTTAAAGAAAATTACGAGTTTAATAAAAATAGAAAAAAAAGATCAAAAGAAGAAATAGAAAAGGAAGAAGAATTTGTTTTATTTAATTTTTTAATAAAGAAAAAGAAATAAATTTTATTAAAAATTTTATAAAATAATGCAGTACAATTTAACAACAATCACAGTAAAAGAAGTAATAAGATACTTTAAACAATTAGAAGTAAATTTAATTGAAAATGACTTTAATAGACCATCACAGGCCATAATACAGAGGTTTTACGCTCAAATATTAGAAATCTATACAGGATGTGATTATCTTAATAGTGGTGAATCAACAAGTATAAACACTCTTAAATTTATTAAAAAGTTAACTGACTTTATATCATTAATAGGATTGAATAGTTTATCAATTAGAGAGATTCTTAATCCAGATGGTAAGAAGTTCATAATAATATGTACTTACATAATCAATTTTTCAATGTATAGGGATACACTTAAAGAAAGGTATATGGAAGCATCTAATATTATAAATAAGAATCAAACTATAATTCACACCTTAAAAAAGAAAATAAACATTCTTAATGATGAAAAATTAAACATTAACT